GGCGCGGGGTAGCCTCCGCATCCCGGGCCCCCGGCCCTGCCCTGCCGCCCCGCCGCCGGAGCGGTCACCGCCCGTTCCACCGTTCCTCCGCTGCCACCGCTGCCGGCACCATGGGCAGTGAGCAGAGCTCCGAGGCCGAGAGCCGACCCAACGATCTGAACTCCTCAGGTCGGTGTCCCAACTGCCACCCTCCTCCAGCCAGCCCTGTCTGCTTGCGGAGCGGGCTGCCTCTCAGCCTGGTGGGGACTGGGGCCCGCGGGCAGGAACGCCCAGAGAGCCCTCACCATGCTTTTTTCTTAAAAAAGAAAAAAAAAAGTCGCCATCTGTCCCAGCCTTGATTCCCTTGATGGAAATGAGTGCCCGTGATTGCAGGCTAAGCCAGCGTGGGCGCCCTGCGTTATTTATTTTCAAAACAGCTGTTTCTCCCAGCTGCAGCCTATTCTTTGAAAGACGACCTAATTAATATTTGGCTTTAGCATTAATGACTGACAGTTAAGATTTGGGTCACACAGGGGATGGGTCCTAGGGATTTGTTTTCAGAAGGGATGTGTGACAGTTGTACAGTTGCTTTGAACCCTTGGGTGCGAACGTGTCCAGAAACCGCATCTTCCCATCGGAAGGTGTCTCAGCTCCGTTTCTAAAATGGAAATTGGCCAGGAAGGCAAGTTCTGGTGTTTTTCCCTATTCTTCCCTCGCCCATATTTTTTAGATTTCTCTCCGAGTTTGATGTAGGAATGGATTATTGTTGCCCTAATAGAGTGAGCGCTCATTAAATAAAACAGCTGATGATTAATTGATGCTCATTTGCTTTTTTTTTTTTTTTTTTGGTTACCCACCAAACCCTAGGACAACTGGTTTTGCCAGGATAAGCTCTGGAGTTGCTAATCCAAATTGGCTTATATTGGGGGCCTAAAAAGAGCCCTGGTCGTGGGACTGCTCTGTTCTTGGTAGGATCTGTAATTTACAAACGTAGAAGCTAACGGACCTTCTGGTTTTCCACGCTGAAATGTGTGCTTCAAAACTAGTTCAGGCCATTCTGGGGGCTAGATTGGGACAGCTTTTAATGGTGAGCAGCATCTGCTAGCTTTGCTACATTCTTAATTTCTTTCGAAGGTCTAGAGTGTAGTATCTGTAATAACAAATGCAGTAATAATTGTTATCCCTTACTTTCTTGTCTCTCTTTGTCAGGCCAGAAGCATGATTGTGGGAAGAAGTGATTGCGTCTTTTTAATAGGCTTGCTCACCTACTAACCAACAGCATGGGCTCTAACCAGTTACTGGAGCATACTTACCAAGACTACCCAATAGTGTGGATTAGAATTTGCGTGTTCCCCTAAGTGCTTTACATGTGTTGGTGTTTAATCCTCGGAGTAGCCTCATTTTACAGACAATCGGTAGAGGCTAGCTAGGATCTAAGTAAAGTCCATTTTCCCTTGGGGTCTGGGGAAGGAGGAATCACTTAATTTTGTAGCAGATTTCTGGCTTGGGACTTGTAAAACAGTAGGTAAATTACCAAAAGAGGCTAAGAGATTTCTCTAAGAGCAATGAAAGTAGCTGAGATTCTAAAACAGTGAATGCCATGAGAGATGTTAGTCTCCAGGAGGCAGGGTAGTTCTGTGGCAAATCTGGATCAACCTTTGAAATGTGATTTTGATGAGCCTTCAAATTCTACCTTCTAGAGTGTAAAACAGTGAAGATTCATTCTTGCCCCAACCAGGAAGATGTTTGGGAGCAGAGGAAGCTTGGTCTAAGGAGTCCTGGATAGTCTGAATCACTTCCCTCTAAATGGATCACACTGGGCTTAGGGTCCTGAAATTGACCTGCCTCTCTAGCAGTCCTGCAAATTTCTGAATTTTGCCTCAGTCTACAGTGGACCTACTGGTTATTTCTGCCCTGTATCTTTATAGGGCGAGGAAGCTGGCACCATCCTCTCAGGTTGAGAACCAGGGTTTTTGTTTTCCCCATGGCAAGGATGGATTAAACATACCCAGCTGGCTGTGATTCCGGTGGCTACACAGCTTTCAACCCCAGCGTCACAGGGATGGGCCACGTATACCAACAACCCACAACCCCCTGGTTCCTTGCCTAACTCTGTTTCTGGCACTGTTGACCTCGAGCAAGTCACAGCGAAATTTTGTACCCTTCCTCACTGGTGAAATGGGGACCAACGTCAGCAGGTTCAAAGAAGCAGAAATTAAAAACAATTTACTTATTCTTTTGTGTGTTCAAAAATAAAATACTTTGAATTAGAAAAGCAGGAGGAGGATATAGCTCAGTGGTAGAGTGCATGCTTAGCGTGCACAAAGTTTTGGGTTCAATCCCCAGTACTTTCATTTAAAAAAAGTTTTTTTTTTTTAAAGTTTCATGTATGGTTAAGCTCTTATAAAGTTTGAGAATTTTTTTAATGCCATAGAAAACAGAGGTCCTCCATAATTCATCCCCCCTACTCAGTCCCCACTGCAGGGTAACTACAGTTAGTATTCGTGTGTGTGTTAAAAACATTTTTTAAATGACTACCATGAAAACAGCTTTGGCAAGGCAGAGGTGGTTAACCCATATGCAACGCCTGAGCTATGTAACTCTATTTTCAGTGGCCCCTTCTCCAGCTAAGCATCGAGCCAAGATGGATGACATCGTGGTTGTCGCTCAGGGCTCCCAGGCCTCACGGAATGTCAGCAACGACCCCGATGTCATCAAGCTGCAAGAGATTCCAACCTTCCAGCCGCTTTTGAAAGGTAAGGCCTTGCATTTTGTCTTCCTTGAGCTTGAGTGGAAGGTTTGCATAGCCTCACCATCCTCCCTTGATAACCCTGTGTCTTACTCATCATCTCTTTTTGGTCTTTGCTTAAATGGCATCTTCTTGGGGAAGCCTTCCTTGACTGCCCTATTTAGCACTGCAGCTCTTTTCCCTGCCTGTTTTTCCCTGGCACACATAACCTCCATCAACTTGCTGCAGAGTTTACTTATTTGCTTGCTGTCTGTATTTCCCTGCTAGAATGTGAGCTCCCTGGTGGCAGGAACCTTCTGTATTTTGTGCAGTTTGGTATTCTTAGCACTCGAAATAGAGCCTGGTATAAAGTAGGGACTAAGTAAAAGAATGAATGAAAGATGTTGAAATTGGCTTACCTGTCATATTTCCACCAGAAGATTTTCATTCTTATTTGTGATCTGGACTATGGATGGAATAGCTCAGATCCATGAAAATCCCCATGACCACTGGTACACTTGCAGTTAATCCTGGCAACCGTTTTCTGCAAGAGGGAGTTCGTATTTGAGAGGAGAGAATGTGTACAAACCGTCAGCCCTCCTGATTAGCATATATTGAGGTGGTTACCTTTTTAATGAGTTTTATTATTCATTTGATACTTTTATTTTACATTTTTATTAACTTTATATTAATACATATATTACTTTATTATTTTGATATCTCTATTAAGTACTGGCAGTGGTTTTCTATGAACTACATGGGGTTTCTGCGGTAAGAATCACTCTGTCTCCCTCTCCCCACAAAAGATTAAGAAATATAAATGATTTAGTTGACTTACCTTGGTTTTCTTAATCTGGTACAGTATGATGTAAAGGATCTTACACTTATATAGCAATTTGTATTAAAAAGTTTCCCTCCCTACATACACATACACATTATCCCTTTAGTTCTTGCATCATTAAATATGTTTGGATGATTTGTGCCTGATCAGACAGTTGGCTGATAGAGGATGAACTTGAACCTTCATCACTGACGTCAAATCTCATGCTAGTTACACTATTGCACACTGTACTTCAAAAATAAAAGCAAATGATGCTTTACAGATGGTCCATGTGTCGTCTCATTCTCTCCAGCACTTCCTCTGCTTCACAGATGGGGAAATGCAAACCTTCGGTCTTTCCCCACAGGTCTCAGCATCAGACTTTGGTGACCTCTTCTGGCTCTTACACAAAACAACACATGACGTCCTGTTACCCATCTTTGCGTTAGTTTCTCTTATTTTGAGGAATAAAGTGAGTCTCTGAAGAAGCGAATATGAATGAAATTTCCGTCTCCACATATCGCTGTGCAATCAGATTTGAAAGACATACGTTTATCTTTAGAAACTTAGAGGTGGACTCTTGTGTTCTAGACTCCATCCCTCCTGGAGCTGTATGTGGTGCTGTGCACGGCCACGATTTTCATGCCTCTGCTTCCTGTTAACTGCATCCTTTCTCTGAAAGCCTAGTCCTGAGTGAGAGCTGTGTGAACTATTTTTGTTCCCACTTTAAGGAAATACTGGAAACAAAAACCCAAAACAACCCCCCCAAAATTCCAGAACTTTGAGGTATATTGAATAATTTTCTGGAATTAGTGTTTCTTTTTTAAACATTTGAAATAATTCATATTTTATGATACGCTGACCAGAAGGAGAAGCATCTGGGAGAAGGTTTGGTATTAAGAGAAGTTAACCTCATTTAAAATCATCACTGGGAACCCTGAGTGTGAATAATTAATGTGGTGCAGTAATGCAACACAGCTGGACTTGGGTGCGTTGCTGCCTGGATTTTATTTAATTGACGTATAGCTGATTTACAATATTGTGTTAGTTTCAGGTGTACAGCATAGTGATTCAGTATTTTTGCAGATTATGTTCCATTTTAGGTTATTACAAGATAATCAGTATAATTCCCAGTGCTAACTAGTATATCCTTGTTGCTTATCTGTTTTATATATAGTAGTTTGCATTTGTTAACCCCATACTCCTAACTTGCCCCTCCTTCCTTCTTAGCCCTTTTGGTAATCTCAAGTTTGTTTTCTGTATCTGTGAGTCTGTTTCTGTTTTGCATATACATTCACTTGTATTATTTTTAAGGTTCCACATACACATGATATCATATGGTATTTGTCTTTCTCTGTCTGAATTACATCACTAAGCATAATATTCTCTAGGTCCTCCACGTTGATGCAAATGGCAGTGTTTCATTTTTACAGCTGAGGGATATTCCATTGTATAAATATACTGCATCTTTTTAATCCAGTCATCTGTTGATGGGCACTTGGGTTGTTTCCATGTCCTGGATATTGTAAATAGTGCTGGTGTGAACATTGGGCTGCATGTGTCTCTTCAAATTAATGTTTTTATTTTTTCTGGGTATATACCCAGGAGTGAAGTTGCTGGATCATATGCTAGCTCTATTTTTAGTTTTTTAAGGAACCTCTGTACTGTTTTGCACAGTGGCTATACCGGTTTACATTCCCACCAACAGGGTAGTAGGGTTCCACTACCTGGATTTTAATTGGGACTTGGCTGCCAAGTGGCTGCTAGTTGCCCCGGCTTTGTTTTTCACCCCTTTGAACCTTGGTTGTTGAGAATATTGAGAACAGGCGCGGGGGAGGCTTATAGGTAAGAGGTGTCCTGGGATTTGGCTGAGGCAGGAAGGGGAATCACCTGATGAGAGCGGCGTGAAAATAGAAATGGCAACATGTGTGCAGTGGCCAGACTGCGGGGAACAGAGAAAGCCAGTGAGCATTTAAGTTGATGCTCACGTTTCACGTGCGAAGAAACATCTTTGACAGTGATTAGGAACAGTAGGTAAGCGGGACAGTTGGGTGGAAGTAAGTGTAATCGTGGTAGTAGTAGTGGCTAATCCTCACCTCCTGTGCTCTGCATGATCCCTCTTATTCTTTCCATTTTCTAGATTGAAACATTGAGGCTGAGAGCTTCAGTTCACTGCCTGAAGTCACATGGCTATAAGTGATAGCCCATCTCAAGATGCCATCAGGACATCGAGTTTTAACTATTTTGTACATACAGTGGACTCAATTTCAGACTCAGATACAGAGACAAAGTGGTGGTTGCCAGAGGGGAGGGGAGTTGCTGATGAAGGAAACAGGCGAGGGAGCTTAAGAGGTACAAACTTCCAGTTATGAAATAAGTCACAGGGATGTAAAGTACAGCGAGGGGAATATACTCGGTAATATGGTAGTAACTTTGTATCGTGACAGATTGTAACTGGATTTATCATGGTTATCTTTTTGTAGTGTATAAAAATACCGAATTGAATCACTTGTACACCTGAAACTAATACTGTAAGTCACTTACACTTTAAGAAGGAAAGACTCAGTTTCCAATTCTAGCAAAGCACATGGTGAAAATCACGAGGCTGTGTCGGAAATAGGGGATCGGCCCCAGCTGGTTTGGATTCTCAGGTGCAGCGTTTGGTGCAGAGCCTGCTGCTCTGACTTTGTTTGCCTCGTGATTTAAAGCCCTGTGTCTGCCTGCTGGGCTGGGGCCACTCATCACTGTTGCCTTTAATCTCTCCCCCCACTTTACTGCTTTCAGGATGAGGCTGTTTCTCAAAGGGCCACTCAGTGAGGGCTGTACCCCCCAGGTTTGATTTCAGAAAGCTTTTATTCAAGTTAATGACAGTTTATTCTTTGAAAACAATATATTCAAGTATTACACAGAGTTCACTATTGTTCTGTAATGTTGTGTGATGTAATGCAAATGCTGGTGGGTGATCTGCAGAGGCAGTGACTGGGCGAGTTTGGGGCTATTCCTATGACTGAGGTAATGTTTGCATTTTTAACAGGCAAGCAGATTCTTTCTCTGGTCTTAACCCTTTTGGATAAATATCCCGGGGTATAATTTACGCTCCATACGAATGCCAAATATCATTACATTAGTAATGTTCCTCTTTTATTTTAAGCCAAAAGAATTTCTTTTTTTCATAGCAGTCTCTGAATTAGCAATTTGTTTTGACATGTAACACATTTAATGGTAAGCACTTGAAACAAAGCAGCAATAAATGGCCAGGACAGAGCACAAAAGCAAAATGTAGATTGGATGCAAACTAGACAGATTACCAGGGGTTAAACAAGCCCTGTAGATTTCTTATTTAAAATTCAACCACTCGTAGTTTTAAATGAATCCCACTGTTTTATGTCATTCTGTAGAAATGAAATACTCAAAAGAGAAACACAATATTGATGTTTCGTATATAAATAAGTTACAAAATAATTACTCTGTTCACTCCTGGTGATGAACGTATGTGTGTACATGCGGTTGTGCATACTCGTGTGACGTTCTTTGCAACTGACCTATCATTTTTGTTACTGACCTTGGGTACAACATAAGATTGCCTTGCTGCCTAAGGAGGGGACTGTCTTTGTTACCAACAAGGAAGATCTACAGTGTAAATGCTTAAGTGATACTAAGCAGCTCTGTTGGGATACTAAGCAGCTCTGTTGGGAGTTCTGTGCTTGGTTGTTAAGAACCTGATGCACGTGAAGGAAATTTTGACAATTAAAAAGAGCCTGAGATTTTCTTGGTGGAGCAAAAACCTCATGGAACAGCAGTGAAGGCACTCAAATTACATGGAACATTGAGAATTAGTGCTTGAGGTTGAAGCGGGGGGAAGAATGAATCAATGGAAAAGGCTGATGTGAATGAAGAACACGAGGGAGCTGGATTTCAGATGACCAGTTTATCCACATCTTTCTCACCCACTCATTATTTAGCCAGACAAATACACTTGATCTTAGCCAAAAGGCCGAGAAGCTATTAGCCAGACAAATAAAATGAAGGAAGAAAGTCCTGACATTTATCAGACACTTGCCTCTGCCAGCTGTCAGGCCTTACCTCTGTATCGAAAAGTGGAGGGGGTGGATCTTAATCAGCCAGTCTTCTCTGAATGGCTTAGAGGTGACCTCTAGACCCAGGGTTGATGCCAAGAGTATATTTCCCCCCAGATACCATCTTTGAAA